GGTTTCACTGTGTTAGCCAGGATGGTCTCGATCTCCTGACCTCGTGATCTACCCGCCTCGGCCTCCCAAAGTGCTGGGATTACAGGCGTGAGCCACCATACCCAGCCTGTTTCTTTGACTTTTAAAAATTGTTCAATTTACCCTACCTTAAAGCCATTAGATTATAGATAAGGCCTGGGGACATGTGGAGTTAGCCACACCCCTAGCTGTGCTGAAGAGTCAGCTCTTATCTGCACTTCTGCCTGGTGTGTCCTAGGCTAGGCTCTACACCTAGTACATAATTAAAATTCCTTACTAACCAGGGTTTTCACCAAAAGTAAAAGTCGCTAAAAGTTAAAATTGGAACATGTGATTGAGACTGTTGAAGAGTCAGTTTTACATGTAAGGTGTGTAAGGAAAGTACAATGTACTTTTGGTAAAAGATTATAAGAAGGCATGGAAATGTGGGGGTTTTTTGGCTAAAGGGTTAAAGAATTGTTCTAAGTTGACTGGGCGCAGTGGCTCAAACCTGTAATCCCAGCACTTTGGAAGGTCGAGGCGGGCGGATCACCTGAGGTTAGGAGTTTGAGACCAGCCTGGCCAACATGGTGAAACCCCATCTCTACCAAAAAATACAAAAGTTAGCTGCTGGGCATGGTGGTGCGCACCTGTAGTCCCATCTATTCCAAAGGCTGAGGCAGGAGAAGCTCTTGAACCTAGCGGGGGAGGCTGCAGTGATCCGAGATTGCACCATTGCACTCCAGCCTGGGTGCCAGAGCAAGACTCCATCTCAAAAAAAAAAAAAAATTCATACAGGAGGCATTATCAAATGTGAAATGGTGTTTTGCTTTGTATTATATTTACATAACTATATTATTGGTATATGTTCCAAAGTTACGGAAAACTCCTGTAATTCTAATATGATTTAGTGTGTGTTAATAATTATAATCGTGATGCAAAATATTGTGTGCCACAGAAGTAACCACATTTCCTTATCATTTGTGGCCTTAATAGTGGCTCTCCTAAAACTTTTTATCATCCACAGACAATTGCTGTCTTGTTTTAATCCTGTTTAGAAGATGGTTTATAATCAGCTATAGAACTCTAGCAGGTGTTCTTTTTGTTTTTTTTTGAGACGGAGTCTTGCTCTGTCACCCAGGCTGGAGTGCAGTGGTGCTATTTCGGCTCACTGCAAGCTCTGCCTCCCGGGTTCAC